TGGAGTTTATTTTTACCGACTAATTTAATTAAACACTCGCTTTCCATAATGCGTCCCCGGGTTCGATTCCCGATGAGGCAAGATGCCATCGCCCCCCCCCTGTAGTCTCCCCGCCTCCAAAGACGTCGTTTCCGCCATCACCACTCAGCTGTCAACCCCCTCCCACTGCCTCTTCCACCTCTGGCTCTACCCCTTGCCCTGAGGGGCCAACGCGGGCTAGCTATTATTTAATGGTTCTCATAGAATGTTGGCAAACTGTTATAAAGCTCGCGTCACAGATTATATACTGTGCATCTTCCTTGAAATGTCCCAGTATATGTTGTTGTGTACCGACGAGAAAACTTAATTCTCGGGTTGGGAAGATCAGAATACGACGTAGGGATGTAGGGGTGTCTTCGTCCTAACCAAACGTACCTCTTAAACCGTACCGAGGCCAAGACGCTGCTGATAGGCCCAGGCCCGTTCGCGGGCGCGAAAAGTACAGTGAAGTTTAATTAAATAAAACACAGTTATTATTTTGTGGTTCCAGGCGCGGCAACTTCTACGGTCATTATTCCCATAAGAGTAATGCATTCTTTACGACGGGAGGTAGCGGTTTACCTTCCTCCGCTGGTTGGCGAGATCCAGCGCCAAACTACACGTCGGATTGCGGAGTTTTCCCCAACCTGGTATGTAACAACAGTGGGGCATTGCCCCAGCCGAGACCAGATCTAATCTCCCGAATGGTCTTTCAACATTTGTGTTCGTACGTGTAGTGTACGTACGTATGTCTCTACATATGATGTGAGGACAGGACAAGGAAGAGGAAAGAAAGATCGCGCGTGTACCGTGGCTCGTTTGTTAAAGTACCTGGTAGAGATCGGCGAAAATTCAGAAAACTACCGATCAGAACAGTCACAGCTAGAATTCTGATGCAGACAGCTACTGAATTCGATAAAGCTATCTAGCTAGTGACAAACATTTTGCCAAAGTCGGGACTCGATCCATATGACCTTTCGACAGAGGAACTGCAGCAAAGATATCAGTTGATGTCCTGACGCCAGTAAGTCGGTGAGAAACACATTTTTATTGGTGAATGCAAAGTAATTTATCACATGCAGGCACACGACTAAACAATACAATACAATGAAATGAAAATTTAGAGTAATCAATGACGTGGAAATTGTTTATTTCGTTCCAATTTGACCACATTTACAAAACTAGCTGCCCAACGAAGAATTTTCTTTTGTTATGTTTTTTTTCAAAGACCGGTTTTTGAATTTTTTTAAAACTTCTTGTTACTCTAGCTAATATTACCACAATGTTGTAAACGAAAACAAAATAAATATACTAACTATTATCTCCTTATTAACAAATTGTCTGAAAAAATTAATATTTTTAATTATAGAGGCCATACATAACAAACAAATTTATAAAAGGATCTCGTACTTCTCTCTTTTAC